ATAAAAAATCAATTCAACAAATCCTGAATGTTAATAAGTAATTATGAAACTGATGCTAAATGTTCACTGTCAGTTACAGTCATCAAACACATGTAAAACATATAGATTATACTTAAGAAAGCTTAAATTACTGGAAAACACATAATCATCAAGATATTTGTTTTCATTGGTTTTCTCAATAATGTACACCCAGGCGGCCTGCTTGAATATCTAGGATACTTGTTCCTGCCAACTAGATATTTCAACAAGTTATATGTTTCAGTATTTGTTTTAACAGATCATTATGTCAATTAATTGCATAATCTATTCAGGTGCTTTTGTGAAAAGTTCACAACCTTTCGTTGTACAAGTTACAAAAATTTACAAACGGAGACATCATGATGACTGGTAATGAGCATTAAAATGATTGAATATTATTCAAATGTCGACTTCTATAATGCTAATATCTAACTGGCGATCACTCAGTATTTATCATCAATATCGGCCAAGAAATAAGAAACGGAAACTTGTTGAAATACTTTGCGCTGAGAATTCTATATTGTAGAAAAAATATTATATTGAATAAAGCCAATAATAATAAAAACAGTTTTAGACTTTAACAGTTATCACACAAATATGTCTAAAATAATAAAACATATTTTACATTCAGTTAATCAAGTGATTTGTAGAAAAAATTTGTTATAATTAGATTTGTCTAGAAATGAGGGATACTACTGTTTATAGTTTAGAACGCCTTTATAAAAAAAACCTTTTCATTTTAAATTATTTGCTGTCTGTTCTTGTTGGTAAGATTAAGCATTCTATTTGACATATGTTACCCTAATGTTATGCTATTAAAGTAAATTTGAAAATGTATGTTTAGTTTGGAAGGGGCTGATTAAGATGTCACTAATGGTAATTCACAATTCACCGTCCATATTTAATTTGCTTAAATAAAATTATCTAAATAAACAATGTGTATAATCATAAGTAACTAACTTTGAGATAGACTTTTCATCAAGATATACCTGTAATCTTGATGGAAGTCGTGATCTTTAGTGGATTTGATTCCGTATCACTCAGCTTTTCAGTCCGAGGTGTTACTACTGAGCTATTTGAACCATGATATAGCTCCCATGGAACTGAGATGTATTTGCAACTGTTCGATCACTGAGTAATGACCAGCTCAGCAGCAACGTCTCTGAATAGGAAGCTAAGTGGTATGGGGTGATTTTATAGAGAGCACTACTTCTCTCAAGATTACAGATACATCTTTATGACCGGTACCAAATAGCACGGACCCGATGTCCAATGCTTTTGCTGAACACCTCCAACCACTATCCAACAGGAGTTAATCATTTATTATGTCTGGTTTTAAATGGGCTATAATGCAAGTTAAGTAAATTCAAAAATGTATATCGTTGGGTTTACACTCAGTCTATCACAAATATACCGTTGATTGGCCACTAAGCTGATCTCACCACATGATGAAATTAACGTTAAAACACAGTTTTCATATTCATTATTATTTAAATTTTCATCGTCATTCTTATGGATTATTACATTCTGTCATGGAAAGATAGTAGATATTTGAAATTTATGAATCATGTTACGATTGTGAATGCACACTATTAACTATTCACACAATAGGATGAAATAGCTATTAAGTACTGTTCGATTTTTAGTGGCTATTCAGTTAATAGAAATATGTGACGTAAACGTACTTTAATTCATCTCCACAAAACCATCAATAAATATTTACTACTGATGTTTGTAAAAAGAAAATGAAATCTCTCTCCAAATCGACTATGATTAATTTGAATCATAGTTAGTTTCGATTATTCAGTGGCTTCAAGTAATATTGAATTTTCTAGTACTTTCAACAGTGCAATTGAGGTTTTCAATAATCTCTGAATATGTGTATAATTTTAGCTTTCTTCTTCGTATATGTTTTCAACAAACTTTCTTCACAGTATCATGTCAGGTAATAATTCAGTTATAAAATACTATTAGTGGTGGATAAAATTTTCAGACGTCTTTAATTTATAGGAAATATGCATCCCAAGACAAGAGATACTTCAATGAGGAAAATATCTAACTGAAATACTTTCGACAAAAAGTAATACAAATTCCTAATTTCAAATGATCTCTTATATCGTCAGTAATGGGTTGTGGAGATTGTTGAATTCCATTAAAATTGCAAACCAGTTTAAGTCAGATAACTATTGAAAACCTGAAAGTACTGGACGACCAATTCTTCCTTGTATGTGACTACCTAAATATGCCCATCTATGATCCCATGAGAAAAAATCGAGTCCACAAGCTTCGGTCTGACGCGCGAATGCTTGTCATCTAGACTGCTGAGTCAGCATCCGATGATGTACAAGCCTAACTTCAATCAGTTTACCATAATGAATGACAGTCATTGTTTTCAGTGAGTTACTGCCTCACACTCGACGCGGATTAGCTCTACTGGTCATGGCTTCGAGAAAGAACTCCGGAAATTTCTTCTTCAAGTTAATCATAAGTGGGTGCATGATAATTTCCAGTATGGAGTTGTGGAGATCGTTAAACTTTGTCGTAATCACGGTTCGTGACCAGAGAGCTCGCTCACTATCTTAAATTTATTGAATTTAGGCTTGTACACCATTCAATGCTGACTCAGTAGTCTGGATAACAAGCATTCGTGCGTGAGAATGGAGGTGATGGACTCGATTCCTTTGCACTTGATCATAGATGCTCACATCTGGTTTTCAAGAGTTATCTAACTTTGATTTTTGAATTCAATGATCTCTTTTGTTTCATGACTTGTTCAATATTTAACATCTCAATTTTAATTCTTTTTAATTCATAATTTTTTATTTAACTTTTGACATCAGTTGAATGATTTAAATTTTCAAACAGTTTTCAGTAATGTACTATATACCTGTTGGCTTATCATTCTATAAATAATGTATTAAAAAATCTGTAAGTTTACTGTATTTAAATAATTGTCATTAATAATTGTGTCATAAAAAATAAACGAACAATTGATACAGTACTATTTACTTTCAATCTTTCTTACTTTTTGATAACTTTACATTTTGTCAACATGAATGCTAATAGATTGAAACAACATAACACTCTATTACTGGGAAAATATCTGGGAAATAAAACTAGGAAACTGCTTCTAGGGTTTACTTAATATACATGTATAAATAGTGACTTGTTTAAATATAATATTTATAGTCAAATAAATGGATGTATGTGTACTAGTACTATTTGTCTGTACTGTTGTATAACAAGCTACAAATTGTAACTGCCTATACATTTTATGTCTGTCAGTCTTCGATCATGTGACGTCATATTTACATATGAACCCAAAGAGTAAGAGAGACAAATAGGAATAGTATAATATTCAAAAGAACTACAGTTGTGTGTTTATGTGAAACAGATATTCAGCTTTATAGGACTGAAGATAAACAGACTAAAATTTCTCTCGTTCTCTCACTCTCTGTGTTTCTCTTTTATTTCCCTTCTCTCTCTCTCTCAATACGGTAAAAGTTATCGGTCAGTAGAATTGATACTGTGCGGTTAATATTTATTTTTTCTATTCCTAAAGGTGTTTTCAAGTCTATCGATGTGCACCGATTTTTATTTGTTAGTAAATTATAAACTAGTTTTAGTTAATTGATTGGTTAGTTTAATATTGGTGGTTAATTATATGTTTTCACTTCTTCCTTCTGTTTATCCCACCTACCCTTACATTTTTTAAAATGTTGTTTGTCTTTTCTTTTTAATTGTACTCCTCTTTCTTTCTTCCTTCTCTTCTCATTCTGGTTGTTGTTGACAATGTTGTCAATATATATATTAAGTTTTACTGCGAAAAATTTTGCACAGATAATAGAGAGCATAACCTATTTAATTGGTATACTTAACAAATATTAAAAAAAAGATTCATTCATTCTAAACGTGTACACAATATTACTGTTGATTTATCTAAATTACTAAAAAATTGAATCCATATCAATAGGCATATATATATGCATATATATATATATATATATATATATATATACATATGTATATCACTCAAATGACTAATATTTCTATAATGTCAACTTTTTAAGATACTTTTTCTTCAATAAATGTTTACATATAATGATTATATATATGTACCTATATCTATGTATATCATAGAAGAAAGTACTACACTGTTCAACTTCTAAACATTTCAAAATCTGGGACAATTCATTGAATAAATACATTTCATAAATTATATCATTATCAGAATATGTTATTAAAATTTATACATAATGAATATATTGCTCATTAATTGATAAATCATTTTATAATAGAATTAAAGAGTATGCATATTGATCTATTCACATATCTATCTATTTCATTTAATCAATTTATTATTATTCCGCCCCTTGAAAATTTATTTTATAAAATGAAGAAAAAATATCCCAACTGTTTATTATTATTAAAAGAATGAATTTTGAAGAACAAAATTTAAAATAATTTTACATTGAATACATTGAATCAAATAAATCATTGTTTCTTTTTTGTTCCCTTTTTCTGTTTTGTTTTTCTTCTTTTTTTGTTGAAAAAATTCTTCTAGTACATAGTTTATTATAAAGATTACTTATTATTACTATTATTATTATTATTATGTACTATTATGTATATATTAATAGGCTGTTTTATTTAGAATTGAAATGTTTCAAAAATTTTCATTTATATTCTTATTATTAACAGTCTATTTCATTATACAATTTGAACAAAGAAAACAACAGAAACTTAGGAGTATGGAAATTATTGGACCACCTTTTTAGAAACATTATTATGATTATGATCACTAATATTATTTAAAGGGAAAAAAACCGAAATAAAAGGATAGTATTTTCACTTATTTATAACATTTAAAACTTGACCATATTTCATTTGTTTATAAACAGTTACTATTGATAATTTGTATGAATAGTTTCTTTTCGATTGTCATGTTAACTTAATTTAACATATATTAATTTACCTATCATATGAATCCGGATACTGTATTACGAATTGGTAAAGTATTTGAAACTCCATATGGAGGTGACGGAGTTGATTTTGTGGATCAATTAAATTATCAATTTACTGGTGGATTGTTGATTATTTTTATAGCTGTAATTGGAGTAAGACAGTATGTTGGTAAGTTAACCATGGAAAATTTTATTTAAATATAGATGATAATCAAATTATTGTGATATTTGAGACTGGATTTCTTAATAACCAGTTTTAGAACTTCATAAATTCATATGCTGTATTATTTTTAACACTACTAAAGTGGGTTTTCTGACCAAAAAGTATTAATTTCTATTTTCACTGTATCAGACATGAGCTGAACATGTTCTGTTTAAAATGAATACACTCATAATTTATTAAATGAATATTAAATAATTGAGAGAATGTTTTTCGAAACAAATGTATCTTCTAATCTAAATGTATTACAAACTACATTGGTTGATCATTGAGTAGCTATTGATCAATACCAAATTTATCTAATTCCTAGTGCTGGTCGAATTCACTAGTCTAAATAACTGTATCTTTTGCGTTATTTAGAGGTCTAAGCTGGTTAAAGGTGGTCACCATGGACCTTCAACTGCCCGCAATACATAGTAGTGTCGTCTTAGATTACGAAACTGGATGATATCAATCTACTTTAATAGAGTTAATAACCTGTTACCAGATTGCGGCAGGTATATTTTCCTGACAACTGTCAACTAAGACGAAACGCAGGTCCAGAACTCTCTTGTCATATACCTTCAACTACTTGTACAGAAAATGTCCCAAGAGTTTAGTTTCAAAGTGTGTTATACAGTGATAACTAATATTGTGCTAATGAAGGTAAATGGTTCTATTATCTAAACTTATAAAGTTCATCAAGGTTACTTGGTATTTTGGTCCATTTGCTGCAATTCATCAGTCCACTTCGAAACTAAAGTTGAAATCAGTTTTTACATTAAGACTAACTTTAATCTGGGTGTCTTACTGGTTTATAGTGCTAGTAACTAGATGTTTTTTCGATGCATGGTAATTTTAATTTTTGAGAAAAAGTACAATTACGAATTGGCTAGTTTTGTCCTGAGCTTACCAGATCAGCAGAAGCTACCACAAAACCTGGTAACTGTACAAGCGATAATAAATAACGTTAAAAAAATAAGAAAGCATTCAATCTATCTTGACTGTAATAAGCTCGCGACTATCTAAGTTGGACTGCTTAGACTAGTGTGGTGTCTATAATATTAGCTTCCACAACCACCCGAGACCTAAATGAGGAGTTGAAACACCGAATTCAAGGAAAATAGGCTGGTTTATGACCAAGTCTTAAATGTGCTGAATATATATCTTGCTATTTCACATATTCTGTAACACCAAGCATAACATACTTCTTAAGGTGTTTGCATTACTCGAACCCATTATTCAAGATTTCCTGCTGCAGTGTTAATCACAGTTGTTGTCTAGAAGAAGTCTATTTACTGGGAAGCTATTGAATAAAATCTTATAGGTCACTATTGTCAATGCTGGTGACACTGTGAGGTGCTTAATACAACTGTTCTTCTTGCACGCTTCCATTAACGTTTTCGATGAATTAGCTCCGAAATGCAACACGTTCTTTGTTTGATATAGTAAGAATCGACTGACTCTTTCGTTTTTATTATATGAAGCACACTGATGACATAGTTTCATTTGAAACAATAACAACTACAGTCTTCTGAGATTTTTTAGTGGTAATGTTTACGATAACTTTCTTCCCGTCAATAAACAAAATAATGCATTAGGACGCAATCACATTTATGTTCAACGTTTTGATCTCACTAGGATAGATACATTTAGTATTCACCTTCACTCATACCGTTAGTATGAATAATAGTTCTTGATTTTTATTTTTCATATTTTTTTCTTTGTTTTTTTTTTCAAGATTCTATGTTGTTTATGACTTATTGTATTACCAATATTTATCATTAAAGGTTTATTCAAAACAACTGAATCAACTGATAAACTAGAAATTTAAGTTAGAAAGGTACAGTGTTAGAATATTATTATTTAAAATGCATAAGTTTGGTTTAAGCAAGTATATTTACTAGATTATTCATTATTTCTGACAGTTTACAATCTTTTAACTTGTCAGTTTTAAAGCAGTCCTAAACAGGTATAATCATACCTTTGATGATCTATTATCAAAGAAACGAATTGTTCTAGTATCAGAAGATAAAATTCAGAAGAATACATAGCTTATTTATCTCTTTCACTCTTAACTAATAGCTACATTATTAAATTAGTTTGACAGTGTTCATTTGAATGCTGTAGTTAGTGAATACAGTAATGTAAAATTATATGAAATTGTTATGTATGTCTGTAAATCTGACTACTGCTCAATCTCAGCTTGACTTACGCTCGCACGTATATACAATACCACTCATCCATTTACAGATTATATAATCAAATAAAATGTAAATTTTTAAAATACCTCGATAAGTTATCACAACCCATAGAATACCTAAATATTTCATCTGTCAATCTGTTAAGCTCATCCTTCAGTTAGCTTCATTATTGTTTTTAGTAATAGTATTATTATTAGTAGTAGTATCATTATTTATCCTCATTACGTGTTTTATCAAGTGTACACTATGAAAATAATATTAAATAAACGGATTAAATTAATTCATTATTTATCAGACTGTCAAGTTTTGTCTAATCACGTGTTAGTACTTAGTAACCTGTGGTGAATTTATCGATTACTTAAGATTTACTATTTTTTGTTATTTCATTGACACATAATCAATCTAAATCTGCTTAGTAGATTATTACGGAATGTATATAAAAACGCAAATAAATTATACGTGTATACTGTTTCATATCATGCTCCAAGTAGGCACGTAAACAATGAACACTTTGATGTTGCTTAATTTTTAAGTACATTTTTAAGTAAAAGAAGTACTTTTAATTTATAGAAAGTAGAATAGAAACAGCAGGTGTCTATAAAATCCTGTTTGATATTTGATGTTATTCATTTACTTGTCATTTGAAATTTTCACTAAACATGTACTTAGGGATAAATGTACAGGTAACTCTGTCAGTTTTCGTATTAGTTAAAATTTTTGTTTAAATTAAAATCATTTCATATAATATAGATTATAAATCAATATGTGTATTATAGACTGTTAACAGATTTATCAGAACAACAGGATATTTTTGTCTAACGGGAGATTTTTCCAGTCGCTACTTATAAAAATGATATTTTTTATAACACTGACCATCGTATAAAAAGACATTGATAAATAGTTCTTGAGTTTAAACAAAATGATAACAAACTTTTCTAACACCCACCATAAACTCTAAATAGTATTTGTGATTACCGCATAATATAGAACATTTCGAATGGAAAGGTAAATAATTAAACATTCGTTTCACGTTTCTAACAGTTTCAACATTTACAAGTACATCAATCTGATGATCTTCGAACATGACGAAATGAACATCTTACATTGTTCTTTTAACCTTAATTAAAGTACGCTAAAACTTTTACATAATGCTAACATTGAGAAAATACACGCGTTAGTACAGGTTAATAAAATGATAAAAGTTATAAATAAAATAATATCGGATTACAATATTATTGTTTCAGTATTGAATTTAAAGTATATTTCAACTAAATGCATATTGGTATGATATTTGCCGTCCATAATTTAAACGCCTTACATGTAGACGTACAGACTGTTAAATCAGTTGAAAGGAGACTTCCCTGGTCATATAGATACTATTATTCCAAGTCGGTTCAGATCAGCTGGGAAGTTACTGTAGATGGTGGTATTTGAACTTAACCAATTGGAGTTTATAGATAATAACTAGCATACAAATAGCCACAATGCATTAGATACACTGTATTTATCACATTCAAAAGTCTTTTTATTATTTAACTATAAATTTAGTTCAATGAGTCCGATAATTCTCAATAGAGAAAAATTCTTCCATCAGAACGCTCTCAAATATAGTTATTTTATTTGATTAGTTTACAAACAAGAAAAATATCAGGAGATATCATGTCACTTCTTCAGTCCATGCTTAAGTAGTTGAATAAGCATTTTTGTTTAAACGAATAATAAATGTTATCAGAAATTTACATTAGAAGGAAAGCTAGTAAATGTGGATTGCCGAATTGTTTTTCACTCTTGCTTGTTATTCTACATTAATAACAGTTTACAATCATACATGACATCAAACCTAGCATCTTTAAGACTCTTATTAGACGCGAGATATTTAAGAAAATAAGTAAAAAATTACTGGCTAATACTTCCGACTTTAATCGATTTAAGATAAAGTGGAGCCTACTAAGAACTACTTTATGAAGCTGAACTCCACCAAGTATTCAAGTTAAAATTTACGTAAAAACTACACAAAGTTCACAAATAATATGATTAATATTCCAATGAATTTCAATTCAGTAAGTTTATGTACCCATACACTCTGGAGATCTGAATTTTCAAGTCTCGATCCTATGTATAGTTTTGAATAAGTATTTCTATATATTTGCACTCAACGATAATATGTATGTTTTATGCTCCTTTGCTGTTGTCTTTCATGATCGAGAATTGTCCCAAAGAGTAAACTTTAAAGCTACTTATTACTTAGATGCGTATTTGCTCATTAAATACTACTGATATGAAAATATCGTTTCCTGTTTTCATATAAATAATAAAAAATAAAACTCAAGTAGATATTGGCTAGTATTTTGAAGCGTGTGATGAACCAGTCAGTGAATTACCTCTATTGATCAACATACTTTTGTCATTATTTTTCATTTAACACACACGTTGAATAAATAAGAGCTTTTTACAAGCTAATAAACTTGTATTACTAATTAAATAATTTTAATGTTTAAAGTAAACATTATCGATTTTTCCATGTATCTAAGTTTTGTAAATGTACAAACCAATTAAAACGTTATCAGCATTGTTTATTGTGACGATTAGTTCAGGTTTTGATAATGATATTATCTGTTGACTGATTATTTCGTGGTCCTTCATATCAATTAATTCTGTGGACAAAATAATTATATGAACAATAAAAAAGCTTTTCATAATAAGATAATAACCACTAATTGTTTACCAGTCAATTATGAATCGTTCTTATATACAACATCATAAAAT